AGCAGTGGTAGTAGTAGTATAGGGTTTAGGGTTTAGGGTTTAGGGTTTGGGGTTTGGGGTTTGGGGTTTAGGGTTTAGGGTTTAGGGCTTAGGGATTTAGGGTTTAGGGATTTTGGGTGTAGGGTTTCGAGATCAGGGGTTTAGGATTTAGGGATTTAGGGTTTCGGGTAGTTTTTTCACTTTGGGAAAGCTTGGGACCACACCTGGAAACCCAAAGCTCCTGGACCCTCTACACTCTGCACTTCCGCGGCAAGGAAGCCGTGGAAACCTCCGCCTTTTAAGTGCCCTAAACCCTAGGGTTTAGGGTTTATAGAGTTTAGGGTTTAGGTTTTCCCTACTTTAACCGCCAGTCCCGAAAACCTGAACCTTAACCCCATGAGCCCTAAACTCTGTTAGTAGAACCCTGAACCCCAAACCCTGAACCCGATATACCCCAAACCCTGAACCCCGAACACTGGGCCTCAGACGTTGAACCCGCGATTCCTCCCTAAATCCTAAACCCTCAACCCTAAACGCCTAAACCCTAAACCCTCAACCCTAAACCCTAAACCCTAAACCCTCAACCCTAAACCCTAAACCTCTACAAAGGCTCTGAAGTCCGAGGAGTGCGGTCGATACAAGGACTGGGCGGCTGAGCGTTCGGGGTTTAGGGCTCATGGGATTTAGGGTTTAGGGGTGTAGGGGTTTAGGGTTTAGGGGGTTAGGGCTCATAGGGTTTAGGGTTTAGGGTTTAGGGTTTAGGTTTAGGGTTCTGAGTCCAGCAGCAGAAGGGGCTTTTTTAGGGATCATCCCTTCAATCAAGCTTGACGTTTCGAATGCCAGGGCCAAGAGAGAGAGAGCGAGAGAAAAAACAAAAGTGATCGTACTGGACGTAGAGTGCCGGATCTTACGGTTCAGGGCTCATAGGGTTTAGAGGTTTAGAGGGTGGCCGTACATGTCTTTTGGCGTGCTGTTCTTCGTCTCTAGAAGGACAACAGACAGATTTAATGCAAGGCGTGGAGCGGATCAGTTGCGTAAAGGGTAAGGTTTGAGGCTCTTGTCTTTAAGGTCTGTCTGGTGTTTCAGACGGAGGTCGATCGGGTCTGCGGCTCGAAGGTAGGCTTTCGCGCAGTGAGGTTTGGTCTTCAAGACCAAGGGTGTGTGGCCTTGAGGATTTAGGAGAGTAATGAATGCTCAAAGGTAAGGTGAAGGTAATGTGGGATGAATGTTGCCGGTGCTCCTGCTGGGGCTGAGGGATCAGTGCTGAAGGCATACATGGGAACAGGCGATAAGAGATTGCAAATTTGCGGGATGACCTGCTGCGTGAGAGTCTCCTCGAACCCCAGACCAGACCCAAAAACAGTACAAGCTTAGATTCAGGGTTTTGGGTTTAGGGCCGGGTTTAGACCCAAAATCAGAAACCTCCTTGCATACTGCATATCCAGCTGCGGTTGCTGAGCACATGGTCAACTTGCGCCTGGGAGCTTCCTCCAGGGACGCCAGTCCCGGAAGCCCTGCCCCAAACATCAGAATCTACAGAATAGGTCCGGAAGCCTTAGACTAGGGGCTTATTCGAGCAGATAACTGGACTCTTCGTTCAGTGCGCTTGCGCAGGTATGAGATGAACAAATCGACAAATGCACCAGGGCAACAAGCCCCAAGTTCTCAAAATCTTCAAGTCTTAAAGATTTCATCTCTCACTGCGAAGGAGTTTACACTGCTGGAGGACTGCCGTAAGGGATTGGCAGGGTTGCAGAAATTCGGATCAAGGCGCGCAGAGTCAGACCACAGTAACCCCGCAGACGGCCCTTTCTATTGCTACCAGTAGCATATGGCCAGAAAGAGACCCGTTTGTACACTCAGCGATACTTCACCGAAACCCCAACAGAGACTTCACGACATACGCTTACATATGGAGTCTTGCGAAGGAGCTCGAGGCCAATAAAAGTGGAAGCAGGCTCCGCGTGAGAAGATTGAAAGGAGTCGGCCAGGGCCCTAGCCTACACAGCAGCCTAGCAGTTCGGATATGAGATGTCGAGCTGCCAGTTACACGCACACTTCGTATCCCTTTCTATCTATCTATCTATCTATCTATCTATCTATCTATTTATCTATCTATCTATCTATCTATCTATCTATACCTATCTATCTATCTATCTATCTATCTATCTATCTATCTATATACCCATCTATCTATATACCCGTCTATCTATCTATCTATCTATTTATCTATCTATGTTTTTATCTCTCTCTCTCTCTCTCTGTCTATCTGTCTATCTATGTACCTATCTGTCTATCTGTCTATCTATCCATCTATCTACTAGGTCTATCTACCTACGTAGGCATACAGGCAGGCAAGTAGGTAGGTAGGTAGGTAGGTAGGTAGGTAGGTAGGTAGGTAGGTAGGTAGGCAGGTAGGTAGGTAGGTAGGTAGGTAGGTTGGTAGGTACGCAGGTATTTACGCATATGTTGTTTATGGATGTGTCTCCCTGTAAGAAAAGACGCGCATCAAATAGAAGCCGTCAGGTCCTGACGAGGCGTGGGTGTCGCCGACGGTGTCCGGCAAAGACATTATTGTGAAGGCTGCTCGGGCTGAAGTCATTGTGCGACCCACATTGGTTTCAATCCTTGGCCAAGAACACTACAATCGCGCCAGAACAGCAGCATTGGACGAAGACTGCTACCGGCACTACCAACAGCCACCACGGTCATGACCGGCTCCATCCGCAATATGGTCCCCCACATTTGCTAATGAATACTTGCAATGCTAGAAAGGAATATGCGCGCTGCACATCGCGAATGCTTGGTTTTCAGAGTCAGGGCATCAGCATCAGGCGGCCAGGTGCCAGTCCATGGTTCTTTCGGAACCAAATGCAATTCTCCATTTTAGGGTGCCTTTCTGGGTCCCCCAATAGAGTACGGCACCCCTACAAGAAGGACCGCAAAAGAAAGCCTAGTTTATAGAACTGCCCCTATGCAGGTGGTGCATCAGCTTGAGATCCAGAAGATCCAGGCTCCCCCAGTATCACCTCAGGAGCTCAGTGGGTAACCTTTCATTTATCGCCCGACCATAATTATTTCAAGGGCTAAGCTTCTTTTGGTAATGAGCCCCTAAGTCGCTGAACCTTAAACACAGAGCTTTCTCCTAGCATCACCGAGCCTTACGTCCAAAAGTTTGCCCTTCAACTTCGAAGGCAAGAAGTCCACAGGGCTTATCCCTCAGTGCTGAAGTTTCCGGGCGCTGGGCTGGAGCTGAGTTTGTGCGATTCCGAAGTAAGGCTGTTGGATACGTCTGAGATTTCCTGTGACAACGACAACGCATCCTGAAAGACCGAGATCAACATCTGAAAGCTGCGAGCTGCGATTCCGGGTTTCCCCAACCCCTCAAAGCCGACATCCCTGCACCCCAAGTTCTTGCAAGACAAGATACAAGATTTCGAATTGTGGGTTGATGCGCATTGTGCAGGGCGATGCCCTCAAGAAGCAGTTTGCTGACATCATTCCGAGCGAGCTTCTCCGGCTGGATTGGGTAGCTGAGACGTCAACAGAGATTCTTCAAGGGGTCTATTAGGGTTTAGGGTCTCGTTTAGGGTTTAGGACCTTAGGATTTCCGAATTGATAAAGCCCAATGGGCTTTTGGCCAGCTTCGACAGAATGAGAGAGGTGTTGAGCTGCGTCATGATCTCGTGGCAATTGCTGTTGATGGCTTGTTTTGCAAGTGCATCTTCTGCTGCATAGCCCACAAGTCTGACGCCATCAGCTTCTCCGTGCAAACTCAGTCCATCAGTTTCTCCATGCTGAAAATCGTTCGGCCACGCAGTACCGAGACTTCGCTTGAGATGGCGCAGCCCAACAAACTAAATCATCAAACCCTGCGAAAGCCTTGAACTGTGCAGCGCAAACTCCAGTTCAGAATGTCGCTTCGGCCATCATCCTGGAGATGCTTGAGAAGATGGCAAAACCCTGCGCTATCGGCAACGTCAACCTCAAGCCCCAAACAGCCTTAATTCTTCTGAACCCCTAAGCATCCGTTTTGCCTGCCTTGGCCAGGGTGAAGTTTTAGCAAAAGACTTACAAAGTTGAGGCCGGCCGGCCCTGGACAAGGTTCAGGGAAGAGGCGTGAAAAAGGCTTTTGGGTTGAGGGATCGTAGGGTTTACGAGTTTAGGATTCGCGTTGGCAGTTTGGGAGGTGGTTTAGGGTTCACGGATTTTGAATGTGGTGTGCAGGGGGCTGGGATAGAAGGTGTTGGGTGTTGGAAATCAAAGGGTTCAGGAACCAAGCCCTGCAGCAAAACCTACAAAGACTGACACATATGTGAGTGCCCGACCGCTAAACCGGGGGCATGCAACCTCGCATTGATAGGACTGCGGGTGGCGAGACTTCAGGCTCGTAGCTCTCCTCCCCAAAGTATCATGATAACTATAACACTTAGTTATAGTAGCAATAGCAGAAACAGTAACTGTAATGATAGTAGTTATAATGACGAGAATAGAATAGAATAGAATAGAATAGTAGTATCCCTGATGTTTCGGATTCGGCGGCTCCTCCGCCCGCCATTAGAGCTAACTACTCAAGACCGGCTCCCGAAACAAAAAGCCCTCTAGAAGAAGGCACATCTCTCGCCCAGAGGTCTTTCTGAAGCGGGAAACGCTACGAAAGCTGTGGTTGAGCCCCTCCTCATGCTGAGCAGAAGCAGCTTCAGCGTCAGACTTTGCCGATGCACAATATTGTCTCAGGACTTACTATGCTGTCAAGCTAGGTGACTGCACACGCACATCAGCATGTCAATAGTGTACTCACGTCACGTACAGTCCATGCTTTTCTCGTAGGAACGTTGCAGGCATATGGATCGGAGCAGCGTTTCAAAAGAGCGCAGGGCAAGTGCACGTATCCGCACCCCCCTCCCACACTCTCTTCATTCGCTGACATCCACAGACATGTGCCATCCTCATCCTTTGTCCTGCCGAGTCTCGGCCGAGAAAGTATTGTGTTTTTTTGTGGCAGCCGTTTGGCTCAGACAAGCTTACCGATCCCTTCGTTGACCAAAGAAGTCATGAGGGTGAGCACACTGGACCCTGAAACGGGGTCCAACCCTGAGAGAAAGGCCTGCGGCTGCAGCATGAGCACCATGCTGTTCATCGCTGGTTTCATCCTTGCTATTGTGGTACCGGTAGGTGTCGTGCTTGTGGCAATCTTTCTCTCATCTCCGCGATCTGAGCCTTCAGCACCTTCAGTCTGCCGCTACCCAGAATGGAGCGGTGCTGGCTGGACCGGAGCGCTCACCGCTAAATTTGGAATCGCTGGAACCGCAGTGATGCAGTCGAAAATGACATCGCCGCTACCCTGGGTGGGAGAGTCCGGGGTCCGGACTAACGCATTCGCAAGGTGGACGGTGGACACCGGCAAGTGCATACAGATTTCGCAGGCAAGCCAGCGGATGGCCGAGGTAGCAGACTGTGCCACCTCCTTCTCGGGCTTCGTGTTCCAAGGTCTTGCAGGTCAACTTCGCTTGATGATTGAGCCAGAGTTCTGTCTGACTGGAACAAACGCAACACTCAAGGTGTCCTCTTGCTCTTCCATGCCGGATCCGACTCAAAATTTTACCTTGCACGAGGTGGGGCACTGCGAGGGCGATCAGCCAGTCTATGCCCTGGCTGTGGGTGATGGCACTGAGTGCATATCGCTTCAGGACACGGATGACCGGCTTGTCTTGCAGGATTGCAACACGAAGCCTCTGGGTCTGAAGCTGGTCCGCCTGTACAACGAGGAAGCTCTGGCTGCTTGGCTCAAAGGTGATTCGATTTTCTTGAGCTTGCCTATAGTCTCCATTGTAGTTCCTTTTTGGGGATACCTTATAGAATCCTTAATCCATAATTGGTTAAACCAAAAAAAGGAACTACAATGGAGACTATAGGTGTATTTAAAGTGTACACCCACAGCGAAATGTCAGTTTGTGAACCCGACTCGGGGAAGACATGGAAGCAGAGACCCATATTCCGGGTCTGGGGTTCGCTTCAACCCGTCTACACGTTGAGGACTTGCGCATCAACCCGAACTACGAGGACAACTTCGCAGGGGAACTGGGCGAGACGTACATGGGGAATCCTGGTGTTCAACTGCCCTGGGATGTGGCTCACCTGGTTCAGTATCCCTGGGCCGGGGACCACTGCGCCCAAACGGTGCCGCACGTCAGTGGGTCGCAATCATGCTCCCTGGCCAAGCTTGTCGCAATCTGACTTTGGGGGTGATGCTTTCTCGTGTTCTGGGTGGAGATCCTTATATTGTCTCCTCATCCCTAGCACTGGAAAATTTCCCGGTAATCCCTAAACCATGATCCCCAAATGCCCAGATACCTAAACAGTTTTTCCAACCACCCTTAAGCGTCCTGAAGCTTCATTGATTTCGAAGGGCTGAGCATTAGACTCGTAGTATATTTCAGCATGGGAAGGTATAGTCTAGTATAATGTAGTACCGTATAGTATAGTATAGCATAGCAGAGTTTTGTAGATCTAGAGTCCTAAGCCCATCCCTAGCTACAGCACTGCCAGGCAGCCGCAGAGCATGTCTAGGGCGAGGTAGTGCTGGGGTTGATTGCCTGAGGCTTGAGGCTTGAGAATTCCCAACCCCAAGAGAGATTTCCAAACTCGATACTCAAGTCCTCGACTCCTCCACCTAAATGATGTTCCAGCAAGCCATCTTGCAATCCTCTTCTGGTGTGTTTCCTAGGCATCTTCGCCTTCTGCATCCCTGAAACCCCTAAACACCCTGAGCCCCAAGATCCCACACCGGCCACATATCCGATGCAGTAGCTCCTTGACACATGAGTTGGTTCTACAGATGGTTTAGGGCTTAGTGTTTGGGGTTATCACGCCTGATTTTGGGTTGTGGGTTTCGGTGTTTTGCTTTGTTCGAGATTTAGGGCTTCAGCTGGTCTTCGGGGTTTGTTCCAACTTGTAGGATGCAATCCAAACGTACACAACACTGTCCGCGACCTGGAAGGAGGGCAAGGCCCGAAAGCGGAAATGCTAAACAACGAACTTGAGCCTGCCATGCCAGCAAATGCAAGTAAGCCCTCGAAGCTGTAAAGGTTGAACAACCTAAACCCGAGATCCTGGCTGTGAAGGAAGGAATGGGCGAAAGGACATTTAGGAAGAAGAAGGGCATGAGGGTGAGACTGACGGCAGGGACGCATGAAGATTTCTGCAAATAGAAGTCCCTGGTGAGCCATGCATTGATACCCTTTGTCTTTAAGAGCCCGTGCTTGGCGGGTGCCCGACTCGCAGGGAGTTCTAGACTCCTGTTGGGGTGAACTGCAGTATGCGGAAGCAGCATCAAGTCACCATGCAAACTCTGCTGTGCATCAGGCACAGTCTCTCCACTTCAGTTGCAACAATGGCACTGGCACCGCGTGTACATATGTAATCAAACGTGTATGTGTGTGTGTGTGTGTACTTGTGCACGTATGTAACGCCGGCACGCAGGCAGGCAGGCAGTTATAGGTATGCCTGCCTGTGGGTATGTACGTACGTATGTATGTAGGCATATGTATGTATGTATTATGTAAGCATGTATGCATGTATGTATGTATGTATGTTGGCAGGCAGGTGGGTCTCGTAGGTTGGGGTCGGTCGGTAGGTTGGTCGGCAGGTAGGTAGATGGGTTGGTAGGTAGTAGGTAGGAAAGTAGGTAGGGAGGGAGGTAGGGAGGTACGCAGGTAGCTGTACGCTTGTTCTCGTTTCCGTTGTGTGCCTGTCTATTTGTTATGTGCTCTTTCTTTGTTAGTCTTGCCTGTTTCTTTGTTCGTCTGACGATTCATTCGCAATTTCTTCATAACTGCATGTCTTCTTGTTTGATTTGCTGTGTCTCAGCACTGCTTGAGTGCCTGCTCTTGTCGGCGCTTTGCAAAGGCTACAGCCAGTTCCGGGCCTCGTCCGATGGCATGTCGGAGCAGTGCGATTCTGAAAATGTCACCCTCTTGGGTGATGGTGCTGGCTGCAGCGGCTTCTGCGATGTGGCCTCCAACGACAGACCATGCTCTTGTGGAACTTTGTCCTGTCCCGGATGCCTGTACTTTGGCTGTCAAGCAAAGTTTCTCTTCTGGGCACGCCACTTCTGCACCAACGAAACGCTCAACTTAACCCCAATTACCCCTATAGACACCAGACAAACGAAAAACAAAACAGATCCCAGGAGCGGCTTCGGCTACACGGCTGTGACCAACTCCTCCTGGCTTCCACCCGGATGTATTTTCGTAGGCTGCACCCGTGGGGCCGATCCTGCGCGTCCTGAAGGAACCTTCAATCCTCTCCTAATCCCAGGCAGGGAAAAGTGTTCTGGGGCTCTCAGGGTTTAGGAAGAAGGGTTTAGGGTGAACGGTAGTTCAGGGTTGTCCAGCAGTAAAGCTGCTGGGCTTCAGAGGCGACCGACTCCAGGCGAAGTACGACGCCTGTTGCAAAAAAGGGTAGTTCAGGGTTCAGGAATGAGAGTGGGCCAGTATAGAATGAACCCTTTGGACTTGGGTCAAGGGATTGTAAAAGGGAACTCAGCATTCTCGCCTCTCCGCAAACTGGCTCTCATAAGTCCTAGTAGTTTCTTGCATAACACTAAAAGAAAGTTGCAGCAGTTGCAGGTTTGGCTTGCCGGGTGCTGCATGACCGCGACCTGTCACCCTAAACCCTATATAAACCCTCCGAAGCCCTTTGGCCCCTGAACCCGGCCGCTGAAGGGCGCAGTCGTGGCGTTGACTTATCTACTCGCAAACTTAGTCCTTGCGGATCGGTTTTGAACCTGACATCCTGAACCCAGAACCCAGGAAACTCAGAAGTTCAAAGGCCTAAAGTCGAAATCCCTGGCCCTGTCAAGGTGGTTTGAACATCCGCACCTGTCCGGACAACATCCTCGATGGAAGGAACTCGGCCATGACTTTGCTTGTTTCTATCTTCTCCCTGTGCCTCAAGCACCAGATCGAACACCCCAAACCCTAAACCCCTGGGGTTTTTTTCGTGAGAAGGAGCCCGTGGACTCAAGTGGCGCCAATCTCGGCGCCCAGGTGCGAGGTGACGTGGTGAGAAAGCATGAGTGGATTGCCCTCCTCCTTACTACTATGAGCCATGAACATATCTTCATGTTTCTTAGGGCTTGGGGTCGCGGTTTGGGCTTGGTAAACCCTAAACCCTAAACCTTGGGGTTTGAGGTTCAGGCGCCTACAGCTCTGAGGATTGTGGGTTGGTTTTGTACCGAGTCTGAAGCTTCCCAGGTCCGTAGAATCCGCATACACAACCCGGTTTAGGGGTTTAGGGTTTGGGGGTTTAGGGTTTGGGGGTTTAGGGTTTGGGGTTTAGGGTTTAGGGGTTTAGGGGTTTAGGGGTTTAGGATTATAGGGTTTAGGGTCCCGCAATGCCCGGACCCTCAAC